AGCAACTAACTACCAAGGTAGATGTAAAGGTAAGAAACTGTGATGTCCTGGACAGTGTGTGAAGAAAGTTAATTAAGATAAAGGTGGTAGACAACTTTTTAAAATGCTACTAAGAAAAATGAGAATTTAAATGGCCACTAGATGTAGCGATGTGAAGTTCATTGGTAACCTTGGTGAGAGGAGTTCTGGAGCAGTGTTGGGGGGTTGGGGTGGGGCAAAGCCTTATGGGGATCGATTTGAAGGAAATGAGAAAAGAGGATCTGGAAAGAGAAAGAAAAACAAAAAGTTTTTCTGCAAAGAGCAAAGAATTGAAGGGATATCTGGTGGGGGAAATAAGACAAGAGAAAGTTTGCAGTTGTTTGTATTAATGAGCGAAAAAAAGAGAATAGCAGGGGTGATCGGTTAGCTCAGTTGGTTAGAGCACAGTGCTCATAACACCAAGGTTGCCGGTTCAATCCCCACATGAGCCACGGAGCTGTGTCCTCCACAGCTAGATTGAAACAACTACCTGACTTGGAGCTGATGGGTCCTGGAAAACCACACTGTTCCCCAATTAAAAAAAAGAAAAGAATAGTCTATTCAAGATGTAGGTAATGTAAGGGAGAAAGGCAAGAATTGCTGGAGCAATGTTGAATAAGCAAGGGGGTATAGCTTCCAGGGCATACATGGGAAGGAAGGAAAGCACAATATATGGGTACAGATGCTGGCAGGTGGGGAAATGGGGGTGTGGAATCTGGAAGTCCTCTGATCACTATCATTTTTTTCAGTGACGTAGGAAGCAAGGTCATCAGCTTAGTGCTGGCTCTACTTTGAAAATGCAGAGGGTGCCAAAAAATTGTATGCACATTTTTAAAAAGGAGAAAACTGTATTAAAATTGTAATACAATGACTGACACTAGCATTCATTTGATTAACACCATCTTTTGAGTGAACATCACACTACACATTGCTACCATAATTCAATTCAACTTCGAAAAGTAATACATGAGTAACAGCTCAAAATGTGTATGCATTTTTTTGGCACCCCAAGTATATGAAGAATCCAATCACTTTCTCATCACTTCAGCTGCTACTACCCTGATCCAAGCTACCAACTCTCACCCAGATTTTTGAAACAGTCTTCTGACTGGTCACCCTGCTTTGGCCCATGTCCCACTACAGATGTTCTATGAAAACGTAAGCCCAATCATATCATTCCTCTGCTCCAACCTTTAAATGGCTTCCCAGCTATTCAGACAAAAGTCAGAGTTGTTGCTTCCTCCCCACCTTCCTCCTGCAACCTCACCCCTTACTATCCTCACACACCCTGCATCTTATGCACCAGCCTTCTTGGTGTGCCTTGAACCTACCAGTCATGACCCTTCTTTGTGACCTCAGGACATTCTCTTCCCACTGTCTGGTATGTTTCAGTGTGGCTTCCTTGACCAGGTTAAAATTACAACTCCTATTCCTTATATTCCCTATCCCCACTCCATGCTCTATTTTTCTTGTAGTACTTATCAACATCTATCATACAAGGCATTTACAGTAGTCCCCCCTTACCCACAGGGTATACATCCCAAGACCCCCAGTGGACGCCTGAAACGACGGACACTACTGAACCCTCTCTCTATATTGTTTTTTTCCTATACATACATACCTATGATAAAGGTTAATTTATAAATTAGGCACATTAAAAGATTAACAACCATAACTAATAATGAAGTGGAACAATTATAACAATATACTGTAATAAAAGTTATGTGAATGTGGCATTATTAAGTAAAATAAGAATGACTTGAACACAAGCGCTGTGATACCATGACAGTCAATCTGATAACCGAGATGGCTACTAAGTGACTAATGGGCAGGGAGTGCATACTGAATGGATACATTTGACAAAGCGATGATTCATGTCTTGGGCAGGATGCGGCCAGACAGCACAAGATTTCATCACGCTACTCAGAATGGCATGCAATTTAAAACTCATGAATTCTTTATTTCTGGAATTTCTATTTAATATTTTCAGACTGTGGTGGACCGCGGGTAACTGAAACCTCAGAAAGCTCAACTACAGATGAGGACAGCCTATTGGCATGTACTCATTCAGTTTATTATCTGTCTTTCCCCACTAGACTATAAGCTCCATGTAGGTTAGGGACTTGTAGCATGTTTACAGAGCTTTCCCCAGTGCCTAGAACGGCACCAGGCACATAATTTTAGAATGAATGAATACATTTCAGAACCATGTTGTGAGGCCGGGACCTGCTGTGGTCACTCCAGAGAGAAAAGATTGCCTCCCACTAAAATTTCATTTGATTGTTGACAGTGTGGGCTCCACCCATGCACCAAGAGGGTATGAAAAAGTTTATTACTCACATAATGTGGCTTTCTGGGGAGAGTAGGGCTGGCTCCCAAGCTGGTCCAGAAGTGGCATTAGAGACCAAGGAAATGTTACTGGCCTGGCCTTCTATTGTGGGTAGGGGTTGGGGTTGGGTAAGGATTCCCACACAGAGGTCAGGACTTGCATAGTTTGAACTTCCTGCTGGTGCCAAAGGAGGGATCACATGCACTTTCTTATTAGCTTGCCCAGATATAGGGCAGGAGGAGAAGGGAGAGTGATAGTAGGCTTGAAAGCTTGCAGCAGTCAAACATCACAAATGGAGTCAGATGCTTTATTATAGGACCCTTAGCAAGTAGGAATGTTAGTGTGTTTTGTGTTCTCTGGTTCCACTTGGGATATAGCTGCAAGGGGTCTTAGGACTCTAGGCAAACTGCCTGATAGTTCAGATGAAGAAGACTGAGTCCAGTTCCAATTTGTTGTCCTGTCTCTAGATCCCACTGTAAATTGGCTCAAGGACTGGCTCCCCTATGGAAAGCCCTTGGACTCTAGGTTCTTAAAAACAATCTTGGGGGTAGCCGATTAGCTCAGTTGGTTAGAACATTGTGCTGATGACACCATTGCCGGTTCGATCCCCGCATGGGCCACTGTGAGCTGTGCCCTCCATAAAAGAGTCAACTATGCCACTGTAGCATGAAAGCAATGTGTAACCAATGACCACGGCTGTTCCCCAATAAAATTAAAACAAAAATCTTGAACACATTTTTAGACTCTCTGACTCTTGGAAGATGTCAGAGGGGTAGTAGCATGGGGAAGGGGAGTTATCACTTTGTGAGGGGAGTAAATGTCTAACTATTACATTGTTTTGTACACCTGAAAGTAAGACAAAAATAAAATTAAAAAAAGAGAACATCTTTAAGTACAAAATAGGTAGATTATAATTATTTCATTTTATGCAGTAACAGAAATGAGGACTATTGTTTTGATGTGGATTTTTCTGAGTTTCACTTTTAAGTAAGAAAGTTATGAAACAGAAAGTAGAAAGATTAGCATAATGAGCACACCAATACCCCTTACATCAATCTAACAACTGTTAATATGTTGCCTTCTTTGAGTTATGTATGCATTTTTGTTGCTGAAGTATTTCATAGTAATGTAAAGCAATGACATCTTACCCCAAAATCTACCAGTAAGCATATTTAATTAAACAAGGATAGTTTCATATATAACTATAATATCATTATCACACCTAACAAAAATGATTCCTTACTATCATGTAACATCCATCCATATTCAAGTTGCATCATTCAAATGTGTTAAGGCTTACGTGGTGTGTTTCATGAGATCTTGGGTCAAATTCCCCTGCATGGGTCTAAAACTCCTCATCCCCTAGTTCACTATGTAATTAATTATTTCCTCCTTTCTCATGGGAAACAGATGAAATTAGAAATTTCTGACTGTTGTATATTTCCCAAAAGACAAATTAGGCATATTACAATAAGAAGGAAAACAGTAATGTCTGCAAAATTCCTTAGACATGTCTCTATGTTGTAATTATACTTATTTGCCCTTACTTTGAGTATCTGCTTACTGAAGCTGTCTCCAATGAGATAGTAGAGGTTTGATCGGATGTCACCATTTCCCATAATTTTGCCCCAGGGTGTGTTATAAAAGGGCTCTGCTTGCACTCGCAGAGTTTAGCTGTGGCTTGGGGCAGACCCCTCTGTATCATCCTCTTCAGGCCAGTGGAACGTGCTGTCAAGGTGGGGAAGGAGCCATTCTCATCTGCTCAGATGTGTGCAATAATCTCACATTCCACAGAGGGTTAAGAAGTGGTGAGGGTAATATGTGAGCAGGGCTCAGCTTTGTCTTGCTTGGAGTATAAATGAAACAGTAGACTGACCCTTTGACTTTGCTGACTATTAGTGACGTGAAACTACCATTTCAATGCTTACTTTATTTTAATTAAAAAAATAATTAAGGTATAATGTATTTATACAGTAAAGTACACAGATCTTAAGTGTACAGTTCAGTGTTGAAGAATACATATACCCATGTAACCTACAAACTGAATCAAGGTATAAAACATTCCCATTACCCCAGAGAGTTCACCAATGCTCCTTCCCAGACAGTCACCCTTTTTAGAAGTAACTATTGTTGTAATTTCTGCCACTCTGTTAGTTTTGTCCATTCCAGAACTTCATATAAATGAAATTATGCATTATCTAGCCTTGTGTCTAGTTTCATTCAGCAATTAAAATTTGTGAGATTCATCTATGTTGTGTGTATTTGTAGTTCACTCCTTTTTATTGCTGAGTACTATTCCATTGCAATCTGTGATATCCCATACTATGGTTTATTTTTATCTTCTCCTGGATCGACATCATTATCTATTTTAAAGAATAAAAACCAGGAGTAGCCTCTGAAAGGGGAACAGTGCCCCCATTATTTCCAGGTTCTGAACAAGAGGGTGGAAAAATGGGCACACATCTGAAGGAGAGTTGAGTGTTTGTACAAAAATTCCCTCAGTTTCTCATGTTGCTTTGCCTGGGAATTCCCTATCAGAGAAGTTGGAGAACTTCAAAGATTTTGACTTTTCAATTGAGATGGTGCCAGTATCTCATAATTGTGTTTCCTGCTGTAGTTCAAAATGCTTTTGTTTCTCTTTCTTTTATTGTAGGCTTTGCACTTCTGGGAGGACACCCTTGTTTTCTTACCACACAAGATATTCATTTGGGTGTGAATGAAAGTCTCACAGACACAGCCCGGTTTGTAAATTTGCTTCTCTTCAAACCTTATTTCAGAATTTATAGATAGATTAAAAAAAACATGTTTCTCTTTTAATAATGTTTTTCCCTCTCACTATTCTCTATTTCCGTCTTTCCCTCTTTACTTGATATTCTGAATGCCTCTCCCTTATCCTCTGGCCACTTTCCATGGGTTAAGATAATTTTTTTCTTAGCAATTTGAAGAGGTTTCTGATTATAAAATTTCAAATTTTGGGAAACTTAGAAATCAGCAAGCATGACTCTTCCATTTTACAATTGAAAACGGAGGACCAGAGAAATTGACACGTTCAATGACTCACGGCCATTTGCATCGGAGCAGGGCATAATAGTAATAGATATCATTTACTGAGCATGTATTATGTGTCAGCATTGTTCTAACTCATTTCATCCTTATAACAACCCAAACCAATTGGCATAAAGGGGTGAAACTTAATTAGGGTCATACCAGCTACTTTAACACAAAATCTCAAAATGTCAGTGGCCTAACATAGTACAGATGTTCCTGATTGGTAAGAGGGAAAGACTCATTATTTGTGTGGCCATTGAGAGATTCTGGATGAAAGTGGTTCTTCAATCTTTAACATGTGTCCTGTAAGGTCACCCTGGGTGTCAACATCCAGCCACAAGCTAGGGGAAGAGAACATGGACACAGGATACTTGCTTCAAAGCCACCTTAGCAGGGAAGTGGCACGCACAATCCTTTTCAATCACATTCTATTGGCAAGTACTAGTAGCTCACCCCCACCTAGATGAAAGTAGAGGTGGGAATAGACTCGTAACCACTATATTATAGTTAAAGATTGACACATAGGCCCCCTGACTCCCCATGCAGCACTCTCACCATTATATCATGTCTGGTCGAAAAATGCAGAGCAAATGTCTTTGTTTAAATATTTTACCCTTGCAATGGAAGACTACTGGGTTTTTTTCTTTCTGAAAATGATGTGCCATAAAGTAACTCTTTGCAGACACTTCCTGCTTTTTATGGCAGCTACCCTAGTATATACTAAAGAAACCACCTCATTTGAATTGCTAAAGAGATTTGAACTCACTCATCTTTAAACATTTTTGTTGCATTATTTCAGACGAGACAATATTAGTATTAAGAAGTGTGGTGTTCATCTTCTGGATGCAAAGGACAAAAAGAATAAATAAACATAAATGAGGTTTTCTTCCAAATATGCTGCCACTGACTGGGATTTATATTAGCCTAATAATTCTCTTTTCATGAAAGTGAAATATACCTTACTCGAGAGCAAATATTACAAGCTGGTTAAGGAACGAGGCCAGGGACACAGCCAGGAGAGAGTTTCATGAGGATCCTCCATTTATAATAGAACCAAGCGAATGACAGTGAATGGGTCACGTGTGAACTAGTGGTTGGAAAAGGGCACAGTTGGAGGAACAGCTGAGCATCCAATAAAGAGTTAAGGAGTGCAGACTGGCAGCCAGAAAGAGGTCAGGGCCCAGAAATCAGTGGAGTGGCAGGACCCCCAAAGCAAGAAACAAATAGCCAAGTGTGGATTGAAAGCTGAGGATGAGTATAAACATGTTCTTTTCTGGGCTTGCTCTCCACATGTTACATGGATATATGGATACATAAAATTTGATCCATACAATTCCTTCTGATCATTCCATCTTATACAAAAGATTGAATGAAAACAACAGCTCCTTCTTAAAGGGTGTATACTATGGACCTCTTGTGCTATTATCTCAAATCTTTGTAAAAACCTTACAAAGTATTATTGGCCCAATTTTACAGATGATGAGATCATGACTCAGAGAAGTAAAGGAGTTTAGAAGCTAAGTCAGATTTAAATCATGCTGGTTTTTTTTAAGGCTATGCTGTTTTAACTACCCCTACTGCTTCTTGCGTACATCCCATGAGAGGGGCAGTGAAATACGTTATGGAAATCATCGGCTACTGTGTCCTTAGGTCCCAAGACCATCCCATGTTTGATGATTCAGCTGGAGGAGTCACAGGACTCAGCATATAGTCATACTCGTGGCCGTGATGTGTTACAGTGAGAAAGAACAGCAAGCACAAGCAATGAAAGGAAAAGGCACAGGTAGCCAAGTTCAAGGGAAACCAGGTGCAAGCTTCCAAGAGTCCTCTCCCAGGGGAGACACTCAGGACACGCTTAATTCCCTTAGTAATGAGTTGTCACAACACATGTGAAATGTTGCCAACCAGGGAAGCTCCTTAGAGACTCATTGCCCAGGGTTTTCACTGGGAGATGGTCACAGAGCATCCTCTGTTTGACATGTACCCAAATCCCAGACTCCCAGGAGGAAAGAAGGTGTTTACTTTAACCCTCATTGTTTGTAAAAACATTTTAGGCTCAGTGAGCAACTCTTATCAGTCCTAGAAATGGTGGAGAGCCTGCCAAAACCGAAGTTCCCAGATGCCATCCAGGGCTTCTTAGAAGCAGGGCTTTCACAGGATAGCGGTCAGGCCTGCTGTGTTAACTCCTTTCTGCTCATGGCTTGGAAACCACAAGGCTTGAGATCTAGTCCAAGCTTTGCCACTTACCTAGTTTGTTACCTCCACAGGTGAACATTTTCTAAAATGTCAGGGAGTTCTGATCCTTAAGGTTCGCTTTATACTCTCGAATGCATACAAATGTATCAGATACAAAGTTAGAGTCTTTAAAAAAAGGTGTGTCCCAATGTAAACCATGTGTAGACAGATGCAGAGTAATTTGGATAGGGGTAGAAACAGGAGGTAGAGAGATAATTTCTAATTTTGCAGGTTAGGGTTCAGATGGTGTCTGGGCACCTACATTTTCCCAAGCTCCTCAAATGATTCTGCTGCCAGGGTGGCTGGACCACACTTTGAGACCCTGAATTGTAAGGTTGTGCTGTGATCCTGGGCTGTTGTGCGTTAGTGAAAGGAATGGTAAAGAAGAACCAACTAATTAGATATTTATATGGTTTCATGATAACTGATTATGAAGGATATATTGATAAAGGAGACAAAATGATTTCAGATTAGTTAGTATTAAAATACATATGCATATATTAGCAGAAGAAGGAAAATGAAAGGAGTTTCTGCTTTGTGGAGGAGGTGATAGATTAGGTATTGGACCTACTGCATTGAAGGTTGAGCCTCCAAGTACAACTGGCCACAGGCCATTGGAGATGAAGAACTTGGACGAAGTTCAAAGCTGGGGAAATAGAAGTATAAGCTCAGTGGTGGAAAACGAGTTCCAGCGTCTCATTGTGGGAGAATTGCAGAAGGCTGAACCTTGAGGAGAGGTGCCATTACAGAGGGGCGGGAGGAAATCACCAGGGTACAAGGAAAATAAGGATAAGACAATCAGAAGAGGCTGGAATGGGAGATGGGGATGTCAGAAAGGGGGATAGAGGAGCTACTGTGGAACTCTGACTTTCTTTTGTGTACCGCATTACTGCTTAATCTGCCAAAACATCTGACAAAAAAGATATGGCTGAGATTCAGAAACTCAATACATTTAAATTGAAGAAGACAAGAGAAACCCACTGCCTTTCACAGAAGCAATTGAACAGGAGAAGCAAGGAAGTGAATCTTAATGACATCTACCCTGCTGATATGCACTGTACAATCCATAGCAATCGCCTCCTTGCTTTTTGTGGAAGTGAAACTTTGTAAGATGCAAAAAGATTGGATGATGTTTAAAGGACAGCGCTGGTCCTTTCAAATCAAGAGAATAGTGCACATCTGACAATGCCTGATGGCTCTGCTTCTCCATCTGCCTGTCTGGCTGCTTTGGGGTCTTGTTGGAATAAAAAAAAAGGGACTGCCCCACTGGTGAAAGAAGAACCTGTCAGGCAATACAGTGAATGTGGCAATTGGAAAGGAAAAAAGAAAGGCAAAATTGGGCCAGCCTCCTGAAAGCTGTTAAATGTAACTTCCAAAGTGTCTCTTATTTAGCCAAATGATTTAATTATTAATTTATTCAAAAATATTTATGGAATTCCTAGTTTTTCTTCCAGGCATTGTTTTAGCATTGAGAATAAAATGCTGATCAAATCAAACAAAATCATTGTTTGAGTGGAAATTATAGTCTAGAGCAGCCGTTCTCAACCTTCCTAATGCCGCGACCCCTTAATACAGTTCCTCATGTTGTGGTGACCCCTAACCATAAAATTATTTTCGTTGCTACTCTATAACTGTAACTTTGCTACTGTTATGAATCGTAATGTATCTTTTTGTTTTCTGATGGTA